AAAACCTGCATAATCAAAAGTGGCGTCAGTTGCATGTCGGCCAGCGTGCCGGCTCCAAGTCTCAATTACAACGATATTGGGTAAATTATTCCAGTCCTTGGTTGTCATAGGCTGATAGAATTATAAAATTCTACGGATGAGCTAAAAATTGGGCGACCATTGCGGGAGTTTTCACGGCGGAGAAATATGCTGTGGGGTGGAAGAAAGAGGGATGTTGTAATAGAGGCATTGTTATAGTGCAATTTATGAAACAGGGTTAGTCAAGAAATAATTCGCCTAAATAAGAGTGAGTGAAGGTTAGCTTTGCAACCTTAGACCTGTTACACTAGTGAAGCGCCAGCCATAGTGGCTATGGGTCCAAACAATTGTTGTGCAAATGAACGAATAATTAAAAAAAAAATCTGAAATCTGAATTTGAAACGAGAGTAGTCTGTGAAAATGAACCTTAAAGCTTGGTTTTGAATTGCCTATAACTTCATATTCAGATAATGCTGCCATGGGGACCATACTGAAGACGCATGCTCTAGACGGGATCTAACAAATGTTATGTATGATAATTGTTTAATTTCAGAAAAGGCCAATTCGAGGTTGCGCCGAAGATATCCCAAGGATAAATCAGCCTTAGATAAAATAAAATTAATGGGAATTGCCCAAGATTTATCACTGTTAGAACGAACGCCGTGGTATTTATAAGATGTACAGGGGTTTATTGTTGTGTCGTTGAGCTGATATAAAAAGAGTGATAAGGTCTGTAATCTCGTGAAAGGCACTAGTTTTGTTTTATTTAAATTAACTGTCGCTTGCCATTTTTGACACCATTCTTCTATAATTATTAAGTCAGCCTATAAGAGTAGGCAATCATTATTATTACCTATTGGTCTGTATAGAGCACAATCGTCAGCAAAGAGGCGATTTTAGATGTTAGGTTAGCAGGAAGATCGTTTAAATATATTAAAAACAGCAAGGGACCAAGAACACTTCCCTGGGGTACACCGGACGTTACACGGGAAAGAGCTGAACGTGACTCGTTTGCAACACTAGATTGTGTATTATCAGAAAGAATATTTTTATCAAAGTGAATATTAAATTATGAATACGTTGTTGGGCTAGTTTTTGTAGCAGACGTTGGTCGGTCAATTTGTCGAACGCTTTAGAAAAATCTATAAAAATCGCATCACTCTGTAAGTTCTTATTAAGGTTACTATGAAACTCATGAACGAAATATATTAGCTGAGTATCACACGTACGAATATGCCTTACGAAAATAATCATGATTTTGGAAAAGCAGATCCTAATGTTCCAGATATTTCATGATAGGAGAGAAAATGACGTGCTCTAGTAATTTACATGAGGTACTCGTGAGAGCTATTGGGCGATAGTTAGATACAACATTACGATTACAAAAATGATCCCTGGAGAAGAGGGTCAAGGGACACAAGAGACAAACACATATCTCCAAACACAGCTAAGGGACAGGTGCGCGACCGAAAAAATCCACCTGGTCCTGGTATCGAACCAGAAACCTCTCGACTTTGTGGGATTCTAGTTTACCCCAAAGTCCTCAGTGAGGCAAATACCCACTCCGTAACTCGTCGGTTGCAAAAGGTGGGTTTCGACTTACCTTGCTGATCGCTGTGAGGCAAAACCCACTCCGCAGTCCGCTGCTATGGCGGCTACGGCCGGGTCCGTCCGTTGGTTGCCGCTAGGCTCCGGTGGACGGGAGACCACACCAAACACAGGGATACCGTAGAAACGTGTTTATTGGCCTTACGCCACACGCTTTGCGCCCGTAGGCGGAACAAAAGAGAAATGAGGTTGGCGCTGCCTTAATTGACAGGATCACCAGGAGAAGGGTCCGCGCTGCCGGAACTGGCAGGATCACGGAAAAGGGGGAGCAGGAAAATAACGATGAATGCTCCGTCGAGCGTAGCCCCCCCTAACCAAGAGCCCGGGCCACAAAAAAAAAAAAAAAAATTAAAAATTGGCTTGCTCTTTATGTTTATACAGCCTTGATGGAGATGCGCCTCAACGGGTAATCGGTCTCTTAGCTGTAGATGAGAAATTTAGCCAGTGCGGTACAACCGCTAACCTGGGATTTTTAACGTGCATCACGCAGTAGTGATCACACGAACGCGTGCCGGTACGAAACTCATCCAGATCGAAACGGGCGGGGGCGGCGGGGACTCGAACCCAGGAGGTTCCCAGCGCAAGCTTTCGCTCCACGCTCCGAGCTGAGACGCGTTAGCCCACTCGGCCACTTCCTCCCTGCCCGGGCCACAGGTGGGTGGCCGGCTTATGTAGCCTGCGGGAAATAGACGCGCCCGGGGAGGCCGGTAGAAGGTCACTCGAAAACGGGACGCGTCCATAATCACTCCCAAGGGTGTGCCGATGGCGCGTTCACCCAGAAAGGGCAAGGGAGAACCGGCCCCTTCGGGGAATTCGGCCTCGTGGTTCCTTGTTGGGACCGGACATTTCATCGAACGCCGCTTCGTCGAACGCCGTTTCATCGAAGCCGTTTCAACGAATGCCGTTTCATCGAACGCCGTTTCATCGAACACCGTTTCATCGAAGCCGTTTCATCGAACGCTGTTTTATCGAACGCCGTCTTATCGAACGCCAGGGTTGCATTCCCGCTTCCTAAAGCTGGTCGGAGGTGCCCATCCCGTGTTCTGCAGTTTTTGACTTGCATCGCCGCAGAACATCAACTGACGGAAGACAAGCTGGAGGTGATGCTGAGTTCCCAAGCGCCTCCTCGCCAGAAGAAGGCCATAGCGGCAAGGAATGAAAAGGCCCGCCTTTTTTATGAGAACCGACGGAGCGTGGCTGTGGGGGACTTTTTGAGAGCAATTGCTCATCATTACAAACGATGAATGGCTGTCGCACGAACACATGAACCCCCGAAAGTTTTCAAATAAAATTTGAAGTGATGTACTTACTTTTGACTTCATTGAGTCTTAGAACTAAAAATACAATGTTTCGTTGTAGTTTCATAAATAGCACTTCAGCTTTAGCTACTGCAAGCTTCGGGCAGTAAAAAAAGTGTCAATAGAAAGACACGAGAGGCTATAGGAGGCTCACATGGCTAAAGTTGTTGCGCCTGCGCAAAACCTAAGTCGCCTTCTGGCCTCCATGAGTTGGAGTGCGCTCTTACCGGGAGTGCGACTTTTTATTTATTTGTTACAATACCCTCAAGGCCCATCGGGTAATACAGAGGGGGTGAACAGATAAGCACAATATGCGAAACAAACATAAAAATCGGTACAAATATCCTCATGGGTTACTTGCATCAAAATAAATTGTAACAGCTACAAGTTTGGACATTAAAAAACCTGACGATGAAATGGGTGAATGACACGAAAATGCACTCGATCCGTGCATAGAAAAACATCTTTCACACTTTTTTTTATATAAAAGACATTCGATGAAACGGCCGTCAGCGATTCGATGAAACGGCGTTCGACGAAACGGCGTTCGATGAAACGTCCATTTTTTCGATGAAACGGTGTTCGACGAAACGGCGTTCGATGAAATGTCCGGGAACCGTTCCTTGTATCCGGGAGGCCGACGCCATTGGTGACGACGACTCCCACGGCCTGCTTGAAGCTAGGCCTAGATAGGGATAGAGGGAACCCAATGGTTCCCACAACTTCCAGCGGAGCGCTCTACCAACTGCGCCAGAGCCGTATATGTAGAGAGTTTGGCCATTCGTTGGGAGGTATAGGAGACAAATGAGGAGGCGCCATTGGCCGAAAGCGGGCTGGGCGTGTTCCAGGGCGTCTTCAGAAATTCGAATGTGACCAACCAGAAGCCGGAAATAATACCCTGGTGGTAGTCGCGAGAAACAAACCTGATAACTGCATTGGAGTAACTCTCGATGGCTGAAAATATGGTACACGTGATGTTTCAATCACGCCCATCCAAAATGATGGTGGAAGAATGCGACTAGCGGAACGATCGACATAATCCGTACGCCAAACGCCGAGGGCCGGGAATCTGCCGTCAGAGCGGTCACACTCTGTCCGCGCAAAACAGAGTTGAGCGGCGCATTCGTTTCTTACATCTTTCTGCATGATCATGATGAAAACAACACGTGCACCCTATTTTCAACCACAAAGAGTTACTACACTTCACTCTTACGCGCTTATTAAAACCATATACGAACATAAACCTTCAATGATCGATCGGCTCAGAACTGTTTCTAGCGACCACCACTAGGGGATTCTTTTCGGCTTCTGGTTGGTCAAGAGAGCATGCCAAGCCCTCTTTCCGAGTCTGCCGCACGCCCTAGCTCTGCCCGCGCCTCCCATTGACCAAACTCTCTACATATACGGCTCTGAACTGCGCTAACCAGGAGTTAGACACCTGTAGAGCAAGCGGGTTTTATCAGCTGCCACCAGTCTAACCCCAACAAGGGTGAAAGGCTTGCATTTTAGGGTTATGATTATAATGCAACTAAATACAAAGGTAGAAGCGAGCTGGACAAGGGTGAAAAAAATAATCCCTGGAGAAGGGGAACGAGGTGGACAAAGGACAAACACAGCTAGGTGACTGGTACGCGACCGAAAACATTCGCCTGGCCCCGATATCAAACCAGGGAGCTCTTCATTTTCAGTGCAGGCGGATTTTTTCGGTCGCGCACCAGTCACCTAGCTCTGTTTGGAGATTTGTGTTTGTCCTTCGTCCCCCTTGTTCCCTTCTCTAGGAATTATTTTCGTAATTTTTGTCCAACTCGCTTACACCTTTGCATTTAATTGCAATATATTCATCTATTTCCATAGGAGCCCACAAAGGCCCCACAAGGACGGCCTTTGTGGGCTCCTAAGTGGACCCACTGTGGGTCCCATGAGGCGAGCCCATATGGCCAAATGGGCTTGCCTTTCCAAACTGACGTGGGACCCACATCCGCTCCCCTTTCAGAGCCTACTTTGTGCTAGTTGGATTGAAAAAAAGACGCATAGTGGATTTTTGTTTGTTGAAGAAAGCGAAGCTGCATGGCGACCTTTAATGAAAGTACCACGGGGCTTATGTGTATTTTATTTTCATCTATCGATTAGAATCTCGACGTCGGTACGGCTGCAGTTTTAACCGTTTACTCTTCATTGCCAAAGAAATCAAAGAGACCCCCGCCAACGCCAGCTGGACTGGTGGTTAGGAAGGGTGAGTTTGTCGTGGAAGCGGTGCAGTTCAGCTGGTGCTCAGTCAGTTCGTTGATTCGTACTCCGGCCAGGGCGTCCGGCGTCTTGCAGAGCGGGAAGCGCCAGTGCTCCGAGTAACCCACGAGGAACTTGATCTTGCAGTCGCAGTGAACCGGATTTCCTGTTCCGAAAACGAAAAGAAAAACCAGTCTTTATTCATAAAGCCTCAACGCATTATATACACGCCATAAATAAGGCCGGCGCGGTTTTTTTCTACTGTAGAGTCACCGACATCTTAAGAAATACAGGCTGTAATGAGTCGCATTTTAATATTGCTCCTTAGCGACTGAGATCGCACTAATGGCCGTAAGATCTCTAATTCACGAAGCAAAATACGTCAACATATTGAGCAACGCTCTACGTTTTTAGGGTGCCTGTAAACTGTCATCAATCAATATTTTGTTCGAAATGGTGATCTATTGCGAATAATTTGTCAACTCGGCTGCCCACAGAGAATAAAGCAATAAGCTGAGCTGGTCATTGCAGTGCTTCCCAATCTGCGCGTGACTGACGAAGGTTTGTCGCTCTCTGTAATACACCAAGGGACTACCTGAATAGTCAATCAACCCGTCCCAATAAAATTAATTCTAAGTTACCAACTTAGAATTAATTTCGATATAAGGTAACCTGTTATTTTTTGGTAACTGTAGGTCTCCTTGTGGAAGTTCGGTGATGGCTGTAGTCGGCCTTAGATTTCTGGGTGTATGAAGATTCGTGGAAGCAAACAAAGTAGCCGAGTTCGAAACGTCCTTATTTCTGTATCTCTTCCTTTGACTAAAAGTTTGGCTTTTTGTACCGCAGTCTTGGGCACTGAAAAAAAGAATCAATGTCCGCTATGTCCCCTGCAGCCGACTGTTACAAAGTGAGGACCACACAAAATCAACCCTAAGATAAGTAACCGAAAAAGTAACGAGACTCTGCTCGTCGAAAATATACTTCCTTTTATACTTTTAAATTTCCCACCTAGAAATGAAATGAAAATTACCCCACTGGACGAAATAAAAAGAAATGCCGTTCTTTTCTTTGTTCCAGAAATATATAAGGAGTTCCCATTCCAGTTCCACCGAAAAAATAAATATAAAACGGCGGCGTTCGTTCGTTCTTCCTAAAAAAAAAAAAAACGCGTTTCAAGAAAGCCGTTCTTTGGAACGCCGCTCCGTGCAACACTGTTTGAAAGCGACGAAGCTTGAACAAATAAATGTCTTCTTAAAACTTTAAAACATCTGCTAATGAAAAAAAAAGTACGCACCTTGCTTTTTACGAAGGGAAATAATACGAACCTGATTCGAACCTGCTTTCTTTCTTTCTTAAGATAACAACTATTAATTTTTTTTTACTGTACACCTTAAGAATGCGTGTGCATTTGCTTTACCAGAACGCAGATTACTATTCACTGCGATATAATGAGATAGCTCGTCTACTGATCAATAAATAAATAAAAAAAAAACGGTTTAACAAAAAACAAAGAAAGTACGTTTACAACGTGATACCGAGCCAGCTTTTCGCGTGCTCACTCCCAAAGTTCAGTCGCGTAAGGCTCACTGCAACGAGGAATGGCGGCCTTTAATTTCCCAAGTTCTTTACCGTAGAGTCCCACGTAGGTGCGTTCCGCCTTGAGCGGGGCCAGGCTCTCTTCCTCGAACGTCGTGATCTGGTTGTCTTCGAGGCTCAGGTGTCGCATCACAGGTAGGTCATCGCTAAAGTCCCTCGGAAGACTTGACAGGAAGCATCCCCTACGGAAGAGACACTTCAGCGTGAGTAGAAGTTGCAGTTCTAGTTTTATCATCACACGTGATGTTGTTACGTCACTATTGTTCTATTAGAATTAGTGCATGGCGCGCTGGTGGACCTTGCCCTCGAAGCAGCCATACGTACCCTGTCAAGCGACTTTGCTTCGCTGTTTTGTATTTATGGGCCTTCTAGTAAAGTTTCATTTCACCTTGAAAAAATAAAACTATTGATTGATTCATTCATTCCTTCATTGATTCATTGATTACGGATTGATTGATTGATCGATTTACTTGTTTGGTGGTCGTCGACGACAAAAATGTGATTGAGATTTGGTTTTCACTTGGCAACCGAGAAATGGTGCGCTGCGAGCCTTTCATCGTCTTTTTGTCGCCTTAATGACCCTGGGAAAAGTGCAGTTAAATGAACGGGCAGTCGCATTCCGAAATCAAAAATAAAAATTCTGGTACTTTTTCCATCTGCCTCCCACTGATTTATTTTTCAGCTAGCATACAGGAGTACAACAGGAGGGGAAGGCCAGAACACATTTTCGATGAACTAACCGAAACTCGCACGGAATTTAAAACACACTACTTTTGTCAAGACCTAATTACGGTCAAATATTTGTTCCATGTCCATAAATTAAAACTATGCTTTTAACAAAACTACGTTTGCGCATTACGTTCAGTTGCTATCCACATTCTTCGAAAATAGCATGGAACAGTTTTGCATATTCCGAGTTTTGTACTGCCTTAGGCCAGATTAGGTGCGAAAACAAAAACAAACTTTGGTATACTAAGGATATATTATACTCCACTTAGCCTTAGCCCGGACTAAGCAAAGGCTAAAAGCGCGAGCGCGTAGCTTTGTCTGTTTCTCACTCAAAACGAGCGCGATAACAGCTCCTGCTTGTACCTCGTCTGAAGTTCAGGTTAGAATGAGACGGAGTGTAGAAAAATGAAAATTATGTCATCCTTTAGCAAATACTTACACATCGTTTTACCATTCTCCGTGTTACTGCTTTGTAATGAGTGGCGGAGTGGGGAGTGAAACGTTCTATAGAAAATTTGTTAGGAATACGCTAATTCATAAAGAAGACGACGCTAATGTCTCGCCACACTCATGGTCTTACACGAACTTTATTGACAAATAACTGGTTGAAGCTTTTAACGCGTTTTTTTATAATTAAAAATGTTCAATTTTTAATTATAAAGTGAAAATGGGAGCTGCGGAGTTTAAAGAATTATTTAAAACACAGAAGCTCGCGCATCGCAGGCCCCCGGGTTTTGAGTTACATTCTTATGCCAGTATAGATTTTGGCGGTCGTAGTACCGGCCGGATGTTGTGCTATTGCTGCCGTGGTGTGATCACTAGGACCTATGCGTTCGTTATTGATGGAACGGTCAGAGGGTTCCTCTAGAGAGGAAATTTCAGGTGTCGTGGTTCAAGGCAGAACACTTTTGCGCTTGCGTGCTTGCAACGTTACTCGATTTACCACATAAAGTAGAAAACACACTTTTTTCTACGAGTCACGATTGGCCACTAGTCGTATTTGTTTGCAGTGAGCGCGTTTTGCCAACGAGCATCAAGTATATCTTCCACCATCAAAGTGTCGTCCAGAGATAAAAAATTATGTTAGCACAGCTCGCGCGAATTCCTACGTGTTATAAGTATTGTAGATAGTATAATGTTAAATATAAAGGCCATGTTCACCCAGCAAGAATCGAACTTGGGCAGCAGAAGCCTCAATAGTGTTGTGATCTAGAGTGAGGCTGAGCTAGGGCCGCAATTTTTGCGTCAGGCCATTGGAGTACAAAATATGGGCCCCAGCCGGATTTTATATCCACATACTTATTTTGCAGTGTGCATTAAAATCCGCTTTTGCCTGTTTAATTTCTATAAGCATCGCACCGTAGTGTAACCATATTATTTCTACCGCATGCATTGCTTGATGCACGTTAAAGACCCGAGGATTGCTGTTGCACTCAACTAGCTAAATATATTATTTACAGCAAAAACAAGCAGCCATATCTCTAGGGCAAACCCACCTTTTTCTGTACATTCATTGAGCCTTTTTTTTAAAGTACACCTACTGATGCACACCCTTCGCTTGATTATTTCGGCTCTACTTCGGAACATACTATCCATAAGCATGCAGCTTTGTAAGACATTCACTGTGGCAAATAAATGTGATTTCCAGATTTTTGTTTTGTGTGTTTTGCAGCCTTAGTTTTGGCAATTTAAATTGTTCGTTGGTGTACTCAAATATGACTCACCCACAGTTTGCATTTTGGGTGTATTGTGGAGGCTACGGTATTTGCATCTATTAAATTGGCATTTTGCGCGTTCGGTAGTAAACGTTTCAAATGCAAGACTTAAGTTCCTGCTGAAGAAAAATAATATTGTTTACGATGCAAGAAAAACGTTCTACTCACTGCAAGTGCAGCCTCCAAAGCTTAGGAGCAGGTCTGGGGAGCATTGACCTTGAGAAGAACTTGAGGTTACTCTCCTGGATCCAGACTTCCTCGAGGTTTTGCATCGACGCCAACCAGCGTTCGCTCACCCTAGCGATTGTGGAACGGAATATGAGCACACGCCTCACGCTCTGAGGAAGGCTGTTGAAATCGGGTGTTAGGTCCAGGCCGGCCATCTGATAGAAAGCCAGTTCCTTGAGTCTGCTCAGGTCTTTGAGCAAGCTCCAGGACTCGGGAATGCTGCTGTTGTGCATGAACCCCATTCGAGATACAGTCTCTTCAAGTCCGTGGAAAGGGTTCGATTCTGCGGCTGCCGACAGGGAGAACGATTTGGCCTTGCAGTTGTCAAAATCCAAGGACAAGGCTGGAATTCCCGCCAAGGCCGCTCCGGGAACGTGGTCTAGCAGACATTCCTTCAGGACAAACCGAAGCCGAGGAAAATTAAGGTCTTTCGGTACGTACTGCTGGAAGTCTTCCGCCTTGCTGAAGCTGAAGCAGGTAAACTCTCTTTCGTCATACAGATGATTGCTCGTGTCACGGCATGATGGAGCTGAATACGTGGGATCAAAACCGACGAGCAGCGGCAGAAGAACGAAGAGCCGTTTCATTCTGAAGAGGCAAAAGGTACAACAGCGGCTGGATACGTGGCGTCGGCCTAGTAGATTCAATGCCGACTGTCCGGAGGAACTCTGGTGCTTTCTTTTAAGATTAGGGAGAGTGGAGATAATGTCGCTTTAGACTTCCTGGGTGATTGACCTGCTGGTTGGATAACGACGGCTGCTTGGAGCGTCATGAGGTCTCAAACTGCACGTCAACAACTCTGAGAAGCTATGCGAGCTTAAACTGTTTTGTGTGTTGCAATGTTCACGTTCGGTCAGTTGTTGAGTAACTTGCACGAACATTAGGAACGTTCGTGGCCGGAAGGAAATGTGTGTTACCTGTGGCTTTCCAGTTACTTGATTCGTTTTCTTAGTTATTTCGTGTCCGGTCGAAAAAGCGAGGAGGAAAAATAGCGGCACGTGACTACGACATTGGCAGTGACTCCTCTAATCTTTGCCGGTGTCACATTTTAGGATCTGAGTGTGAGCATGAGCGGACGTCTTGTCTTTGAAGGGTCGAGCCATTCGTTTGACCCTGCTTCGGAGAGAGGGTTGGAGACGTCTAGACACGAGAAAAGCAAATCACAGCCTAAAAACCGAAGCCTCTGGAAGCGTGGCAGCGACCTCTTCAGAGAAAACGAGAGAATTTACTGTCGCCGCGTCACCGGATCTTGTGATGCGCTGGCAAGATACGACGTTGGCGTCTTGTTTGCGAACGCGATGTCGGACGTTCACGAGGAACACTGACCTCTTCGCGCCGAAACGTAAAGGTTCATTTGCTTCCTTTCCTTAAGGAATTCGCGTGCCTCTATATATACAAAACGTGCTTGGGGAGCTAATCACTGAGATGAAGTGAGGATGTCCACTGAATAACACAATCTTAAAAAAAAATAGCCAAAACTTCCGCTTTTAAAGGAACATTACACGCTTTGAAATAACATTCTCTGGGTCCTAACGCACATTCTGTTTATCGGTAGGAATTGGTTACCCCACTGGACGTACGCTGGGCTTCCTTCGTTATAGCTCCTTGTGAGATCTGCGGTGGAGCCAAAGCTTTGACATGTTTAGAGAACACGGTGCAAATGTTGCGAACCAAAATCATTTTCAGCCAGAAATAATATGAAGCACGCAGGGCGCCGTACTATACCGCCGTTTCTTCACGCGCAGTATCTCATACTGAAGTATATTTCCTACAAAACGGTTATCATCTGCTCGGCATTCGCCGCTTCCGTACGTCCTTCCTCAAAGTGAATTTCCGTCCGCTGCCATTTTAGGTGCCGTTATACTTCGCGCGTGTTTTGATTGTTTCCGGTTCATCACCTTGTGCTTGCTTTCAGTGAATAGCGGAATAGTACGTATATGCACGTCTCCAGAGAGGTCCTTATGTGTTTTCGGGAAGTTGAAGGTTGACGCTCTGATGTGGGCGTGCTTAAAAGTTTACTTCGTCGTTCCTTCTTCCTTGAACACTGCGCTCCTGAGATCGCCGTGTACTGGTATGACCATGGTATCCTTTTTGTCCAACGGCCTACCTTTCGCCTTTTACGTCTTTAAAATTTTTGAGCTGTTCCGCGTTAATTAGCCTCGGCAAATCTGCAAGTGTTTTCGCCGCTTTCATTTTAAACACTGTATTTGTGTGAAATCAAATACGTTTTCTTCATTTTATGGAGTACACGTTTTACGGGATCGTATCATATCCCACGCGACCTCAAAGAAGGCTCTGGCAAAGCCTGGTGAGAATCTATCAGGCCCGGCAACAACATCAAGGCAGCGCAAGGGGGAGGGGGGAGGCGGAGGGAGGGAGGGAGGGAAGGGGAGGAGGGAGGGGGAGATCCTCTACCTTTTTCGCAGGTGACGTCATAACCGTTGTATATAAAACTGAAAGTCTTTGGGCGTGTGCAATTTCGTAGCATCGTTCTTCGTCTGTTTAACGGTATTTGTCTAGTTTTAGGGGCGAAGCTCTTTAGGGTCTAGCCTTGTCCATCCGTCCGGCGTCCGTGCTCACATCGATTGCACTGCCTCCAAAATCGGCCAACTTAAAAAAAAAAAAAAAAAAAAAAGGGTACGGGGGTTCGAGCTTTGGACCGCTTGCTTACGAGGCAGACTTCTTAACCACCATGCTACACTCCAATTTTTTTTTATTGTATGATCCATGCTACACTCCAACGTTACATGTAGCCGCTCAAGGAGAGGGCGCTCGGTCAAATGCGTATTAATCGCGTTACACTTTGCATGCATTGGCTCAACGTTTATAGACGAGAGGGCGCTGTGGTCAAATGCTCAACTGCGTATATAACCACGATCCATACCACCCATCCTCTTTCTGACATGGACCGTTGACTTAAGCAGAGGAGATGCGTTCCCACGGCTTCTAGCGGACCCTAGCTGATCCGCTAGAAGAACCACTGGCTCTGAATTTCACCGACCATAAAGCAGTAATAATGAAGTCGAAACGCAACCCAGAACTCAGCACTAACTATGAACAATAAATCAGTATCATCAGCACCACCAGAGCTTCGCCCAAATCAACATCATTCACCACGTGGAGATGCGGCCTCTTTTTTTGTCTGACAAATGCTTTGGAAGCAGTAATCCGGGAACTGAATAACAGAAAATCATTGCGGTCGCACCAGCAAATGGTCATCCGTACGATATGAGTGCGAAGACGTGGTACTACCTCAAAAATGCATGATCGCTTAAGTCGAAGCACACATTGTTTGAATGTTGAATACATAGTCTCTCTGTACGTAAGCTGAAGCTAGACTGCGGCAGGCGCTAGAGGTGCATGCCGAAACATCAGCTACAGATAAATTGAACAGTCGCTGTCGTTGTATAAAGTCACTGGATCTTGGGAAAGTAGCGCCATTGCATTCCCTGCTTGCCAGTCGAACACAAACAAATACTAACACACAGACAACCAAACCTCGCAAAGTGATTGGCTGATCGGTTTTGTTGCCATGGCAAGCTTCATTATGGTCTTTTCAAGTCTTCGAAGCTTTGAAAGGGTCGTTCTGAATCAGTCGCACCAAGAACGCTATAAAGCATCATCGTACTGAAATCGCTTATCTCTACGGATATCTCACGATGGTGTTGTTCTTTCGGATCTAAAAGCATGCAAATTATTTTTCGATGCCGCCAAGCACCGCCGCCGCATGCGATGGCGGTGCGAAGATGTGCTCTTGTTTCGCCGGTGTGTGGATAACAAAATCTCGATATTCAAGAAACGTCTCTATAGAGCTACCCGACATAAGCGAGTTTAGATAGGTTCATCAAGAATGAATAGATCAAGTGAAGTCTGCTTATTCAAAGAACCAAAATGGCATCCATAGTTTGTTGCTACTGGGATCCAGTGGCATTATGGTTGGGCGACGAGTGTATACGTGGAGTCAATGTCTCCTGTATACTCTATAACGTGAAAGGTTCTTTGAGTGTTGCCTAACGGCGAAGAAGGACGCTACTCGAATGCATGCATGACGTCAAAGAGTGAGAAGGCTTATGCTAAATGACGGCTGATTGGGAGCCCGTGCGCCTCAGCTCTTTTACTGCTACACAAGAAGACATAAAAATGTCTATAACTAGTCTGAGACCAATTTTGCGTTGAAGCCTTTATAGTCGGTAACGGACTAAGAATTTTGTAGAAGCTCAGCCTTTACTACGCGCTCGTAGAGTTCGGCCGGGCTTTCACTGAGCGTGAGATGAAGCCAGGAAGCTCGGGCTGGAGGTGGAACAATTTAGCCTTATCCCGTCATCGACTATAGATTATTAACATCTACTGGTGCGCTTGGTCGACACTGCACTATATGGCGTTTCTAAAGCTGTACCCCAAATAACTTTAGAACGGCGCCGACCTGCATCGTTCTGCCCCATAATTTTGAGTTTTTCAGTATGGTCCTGTCAATTTAGCTATTATCTTGCAATCGAATAAAGTATACAAACTCGGCTGAGCTTGCCAGTCCTTAAAAACGATCTTTTCGCGCCGTGCTCACACTTCATTGTATTTGCGTTTACATCATCCAAATAGCCAGCCCTGGTTCGAGATTTCTGCCTGCTCTAATCCGAAACTTAAAAAAGCACTGACGGGTCAAAATCTTTTTTTTTTATGTTATTATCCTAAATGATTGAAATTGATGCCTGGACATTCCCCTAAAAATTCTAACCTTGGGAACTCAGTATTTGCGACGAAAAAAGAAAACAACTTCCCAAATCCGAATGGGAAGTTTCCGCGCGATCCGCGCTACTGCAGTGACGTCAAAGATTGAGCCGCTCTGCAACTCGAGTTCCTCTCACGCCTCCGTGTTGTGTTCGTCCGCGTCCCGTGATCAACCGCTCCGTGCGTGCTGCCTATCGCTGTGAGCAGACGACGCTTAACTTTCGTGTTCGAAAATATTTTAAAGCTCTTTCAGCTATTTCATTATTTTTTTTTAACGGTGTGACGTCAAAGAAAACGCGCAGTCGACTTTTGTGAGTGACGTGAGCGGCCACGTCGCGCAGGTTCTGCGTGAAAGTCTGCCCAGGCGGAGTCAGAACCGAAACTACGGTACAGGAACACCAAATCCAGTTGTTTTGACCTCTTGGCGGTTTACTTGTCGAGTCTGGGAGGTCGTTGGGCACCTAAAAAAAAACAACTTCGTTCGATTCCCCAACTCGCCAATCGCCATCAGTGCTAGAGTGCCGAGCGCCGCCGTGTTTTCCAAGGGAGGATAAAAAGCCAGGAGACGACATCATTTCTGGACTCAGATTTTCCATATCTCAAGAAGAAAAGGCGTAGTGGGTTCGGAATTCCGCTAAAAATAAACATGTTTTACGAATGCCATTATTAAATATTATAAAAATGTCGCTTGCGAAGCTACTCAATTTTTTAGTTGATTACGTCACAAATAGAAAGAAGCAAGGAGGTGAGGACCGGGAGAGAAGGACGCGAAAAATTAAAAAAGAGGTGCTTGGGATTATGGGATAATGTATTTTCGCGTTCTGGTAGTTTTTTTCGTGTCTCTGACTAGAACTTTTATTGTTTTTAGCAACAAAAACAAATACGATTCTCGCGGTGTCAGTGCCCCTTTAAGGTTTTTAAGAATGTTTCCAAGTTTACAGCAAAGACAAGAAAGCTGATGAGTACTTTTTTTTAATCATACACTTATGATTGAAGTTCTATCAAATTACATCTAGAAGTGCCCCCGCCAGGACGTTTAAGTTCAATATTAACGAAAGACTCCACACGTTGACCGATACCTAAAAATAGCGAGGCCGACCGACCTAAGAGGTCAGCGCACAGTCTACTCAACGACATTTTCCACGTATCCCACCAGATCGTCACTTGGCATGTTGTTAAGGAGCTTTCTACAGAGTCTGCACTACCGGAGTGAAGTTCAAAAATGCTTTGCAAGTCAAGCTGTGCTTCGCCAAGACAGGAAGGACGACGACGCAATGTTTAATATTTCTATTTAACTGCGTAAGACATAGTGACTTCTGCCATCATCTTTTCCAAAAACCTCTTTGTGGTTGGAATTGGGAAAACTTAGGCAACAGACATTATCATCCTGACATGATTGTCGCGTCCGTGACTCGTGGTGCAGGACTCATTGACCAATACTTCTTGGAGCTCATTGGCTTGGCAGGCCAGCTGTGGGAACAATCGCCTAAATACTCCCAAACTTTTATTCTCTTTCCTCTGCTTTAACTTTTCATGCTTTATTCTAAATGCTTCTTGCTTTTCCTTTTTCCGATTGATTTGCTATAACTTTGTAATTTAAAATACAAACAAAACAATCTGGTGCACCTTCAGTGTGAACGATCGTTCTGTTTCGTATATTTACACCTGGTTCCTCCTCTTTCATACCATCTTTTTGTTGTTGTTGGGCATTTGATACGTAACATCATACGCAAAAAGGCCACCGGAAAGAAAGACACATGCAGTCAAGAACGCTTTTTAGCGTGTTCGTGACAACGAGCTTCGACAAAGTGTTTGAGTCTGATGCAAACACACCTGACATTTTCATTAGGTCGCACGTTGTGATTGCATTTCACTGTGTAGCAAGGCTCTTTAGGTGTAGAAACTCCGCTCTTCGCCGCGAGCAGATAATAACACACCGCGCGCTTCGCTTCACGGAGCCACCCCCAGATGGCGACGTAAGTTTCAGGCCATCGAAAAGCGCACCGGGCCGCCTGTGCAAGCTGCCTGTTGGGCGTGCCGCTTGCTTTCCGGTGGCTACCGTTTCGCGTACCATGTAGAATGTAGGTGGGGCCGTTCAACTATCATCTCGCTCAGCACACAGAAGTTTTCATAACCCGAACAATGGCAGACGAACAAACAAGGGTAACTCCCTAATACAAGCCGACGCGGCGGTCTCCTAGAAAAAAAAAAAAAATATCCCGCTCCTGTGGATAATTTCTAGCCTAGCTTACATTTCGTCATTTCAGTTTTTTTAGTAGCGCAATACTGACGTCGGTAAGCGTTTGTAAAATCAATTAACTATGATTACACCGCAAGTAAACGAGAACTTGAGTGCGACCGAAAGGAAGAAAAAAAAATTGCACAGAAATAAAGAATGATTAAGACAAACCTTGTTAACAGATGATACGGAACTCAAATGTTTTAAGCACCGTTGACCTGAGTTTTCTCAAAAAATAATCTTATGTTTGCTGATTCACGTTGATTCGGCTCGAATATTAATTTTCTATTTTTGTTTTTAACATCTGGTGCGGCTAATCTGTAATTATTCTCTTACATTTCAAGGTAGCCTTTGTGTCCTGCTAAATGGAACTGCTGACCGAAAGGGGCACAACGTTACGCATTTTGCCCGCAGAGGTTAATGAAGCAGCATTCTCTGAAAGGTTCACTTTGTTAGTACACTTACCTTTGCATGTAACAGATTGCAGGAAAATGTTACATAGTAACGACACTCGTCAGGGAAAGCAAACATTTTTCTATTGGCACTTCTGATATAAGCAATAATAATATCATCACAAAAATCAGAAACTTAGTTCAACATAAAGTTAAAAAAATGCTGTAAAAAACGTTGTTAAAACATTGTTTTTTGTATGACACACCCTATAGTTGCTATGGCAGCAAAACTGGTCGTTTTGGAATGTCAAACAGGACTTCAGCCCCAAGTTCGCCGTAGCACTTTCTCCTCAACACCATATCCTACGGGAGGTGCTTAGCGCGCACAATGTCTTTCAACATCAGCCGCCGATCCTTGAGAGAAATCGCTCGTGTCCATCGCGCCAAACGCTCAGGGTCAAAGGAAGCGCCGAACAATGTTACCCTTTCTTTGCAACTCTTGTAACCGGAATTACAATTTGAAACAAAGCGCTTGCATCCCCTGCTCACCAATGCAAGTCCATGGCGGTGCTACAGGTTGGGATGCACAAAATTGCTGTCCAAGGAAAACAGCAAAACCAAAAAAAGAAAAAAGAAAAAAAGAAACGTTTGACACAACCAGAGGCGGCGTAAGCAATGGGTGGCTCAGCCCACGTTCTGGCGGAGGGCCGGCGGCCGGACTATAGTCGGTTACAAGTCAAGAAGGTAAGTGAAGCTCCTACCACAAGCGTGATGCGCCCGTTTCAAATCCCTCCGCTGTCGAAAGAATAGTTCACTGGAAACGCCCCTTGTTTCGCTTCAATGGATAGATATTGGTTACAGAGTGATGCCAATTTGTCTCCGACCCCCACTTTTTAAGAAAGCGACCTTTGTCTTCATCGGAGAGGGAACCGAACCCCTGAAAGGTAGTCTTTGTATCCACCGGAAGGGGAATCTAACCCGGTGAAAGTCGAATTTGTTTCCATCGAAGGGGGAAAACTCTAATTTCCCTCCCGTGGCTTCCACAACGCTAAAGTAAAAGTCGAAAGAGAAGACAGATATGTACAGAAAGGCAAGACCCTCCTCCCCCCGTTGGCTGCGACGTCACGGAACTGATAGGACGCTATTGGATGTGAATGAAGCGGAGGGATATATGAGTCCATTTGAGGGGCATCTGCCGCTACCTTCTTAACCTGTAACTTACCGGACAGCCTGAATGTTTTGGCGCCCTCTAGGGGCAGCGGAGCAAACCTAGGAATTGAGAAAACGTGATGTGGCCGCTGTTCCGACGGGGCAAGGAGAGAAGTCTCCACACCAAAAGAGCGTTCCTACACCGTGTTCCATGTCTACTCGATGGGACCAGGGGCAAAATTAGTGCGTCTTGCTGTTACAGTTCGGTTTGCCATTAAGCGACGTTTATTGATTCGAAGACTTTTCAAAGTAATTTATACGAAAACAAGCAGGCACATCATAAGACTCGAACGTCGTTACAGTCCCTCGTGGTGCATCCCCTGAAGAATGCTACGAAAGTCAAAGGTTTTTAACTTCTTTTATTTAAGGGTCGGCACGACTCAGCCGTCCGTCGTTTTCGCAGTTGAGCTGCTCCGTCGTGACGTTCCGCAGGAAAGTGCCCGCGAGGCTTTCGGGACTGCTGCACTGTGGGTAGACCCATGTCTCCGGGAAGTCAAGCAAGAAAGAAATTTTGCAGTCGCACTGTACTGGGTTTCCTGAAAATAAAATAACAAAGCAAAACACGTCGCACGCATACTTAGCAAACTATTATAAATTATTTTAGTATTTTATACATAAAGCGAAAAGTGAGACGTTAGCTGTCGTGCAAGTACTACCGGACATACTTCTATGAAGATGAAGGAGGTTGCCGATAGTTCCGCGAGTGGTGCTTTTTTTTTTTTTAAAGTTAAACATTAATTTTCAAGAAATGCACATTCATTGTTTTTATGTGGAACTAATTTTTACGTCTTTAACTTTTTACTGGTTTTGATTCCCTTGAAACTATCATGAGGTTTACTCTTCTTTTTACTTGTGAACCAGAATATACCATTTGACATTGTACATCCATTATATTTTTACCATATGGGCCTATTATGGTCATCACTGTCACTTTGCATAAAATTTAAGATGTTTCAATGTTTTCCTCTGTTTTGCCTCCTGTGGGAACCTGTACGTACAAATATTGGTATAGTAAGCACAACTAACTGCCTACGTCAAAAGCGTCGTCAATGCATTCCGGAAAGGTTTCTTCTGGTGACAGTTCTATCACAGACCGAGCAAATAGATCATTACGTGATATGCGATGGAGTGCGGTACGGACCGCAACTCTGGGTTCTGTAACGCCAGCCTCAAGGAATCAGCGGTTAAACCGAAGCACGCAATCAAACAATTGACCGTGATAGCGCTAAGAAACGAGGCTCATACTTCGTGATATTCCAGTAATCTCTACTCGCCAACACGAGGAACGCAGCCTGGTGGTGACTACTTTTAACTTTAGAGGTAGCACAAGTTGACCAACACTTTTTTTTTTGTGCCGGTTGATGACAGGAAAGTGCCCTAAGACTCGCTGACAATTACTTTTTTTATGATTTCTAGAATTGCTAGAGGAATGTCAGCCTAACGGAAATATATGCCTTACCAGAAAGCACGACCACAGTTTTATTGTTGTTCAGAGGCGACAGGCTTGCTTTCTCAAACGTGTTTATGAGATTTTGCCGAAGGTTGACTTGAATCATCGCCGGGAAGTCCGCCCCAAAGTCCTTCGGTAGGGACGTAAGCGAGCTGTCGCTGCAAAGTCACACAAATCATACAAATATTCAAATATTATATTTTAATATGATAATGATGATCCCAAAGAAATGCATCTTTTGATCACCGTCATTTTTTCAGAATTGCGGGCGCCAACGAAACACTATTTCTGCGGAGAGCCTAAATAAAATCTTCTCAATTATGATAAAGTAGACAAATGTAAAACTGAAAACAAATGTCTAATGAGGCAAACTAGTGCTATAAACTAAAATAAAAGGGGCTATGCAGTTTGCGAAGGCGACGAAAACGCGAAAGACCCGCAGCAGTGCGCTACCGCTGCTTTTATACGCGCGCTGTGTTCAGGAAGGATCCAAACTATACTCTGTTTCATACTTAGCGTGCAACGCTGTCAAAGGTACTGGCGGGAGCGCGTGGCTTCATCTATGGTTTTGTTTGCTTGAGAACGCGTGCAAATGGTCAACGAGATCAAGCCCCATGATAGCGCCAGTAGCTTCGGCAGCGTTGCATACACAGTATGAAACAGAGTATAGAACACACGATGACAGAGAAGGTTGTCCTGAACTCTCCAGAGGAGCAGCGATTGACAAAAGAAACAACTGGGCCTGCGGGGTTTAAATCCCGTTCCTCCACGTGATTGCAGCATGCACGCAGCAATATTAGATACCTGTGCAAACTATTCTGGCGGTCTAAAGTTTAAAACAAAAAAATAAAACTGGTTGATGGTCAAAATTTATTTTTGCCCGTTCAAATTATTTTGTATTAAGCTTTAACCCAATTTTTACATACATTTCAATATCATCCCATCTAAGTTGAGACAATCTAATTTCAAGCTTTTGTTTTTTCTTGTGTAAAAATAATTATAAGCGCGCCAAAGTTGTTTTAGATCATTTATTACTTTTTTTTATTGCGGCGAAGCTAAAGTTTGGTTGACATTATTTTGACGGGACGTTTCGAATGCACATCTAGTTTTAAAATGTACTTTAATATAGGAAGTCCAAACCTTCCGGTCATTTGCACATTCACTAATAACGGGTAGCCTGCCACTATAACTTGTTAAAATTAAGGTATTGAAATGCCTATGGGCAGGCTAGCTGGTCGGTCTTGTGACTCGAGTTAGCATTGAGGCATAGTTTTATGAGAAACGCGCTCTTGCCTTAGCGTTAAAATCGCTCGGGGTACTTTCATTCTCGCAAAGTATAATTTATTTTACCACAGTACTTAGTCGTTTTATGACCATAAGTCTTCTATTAAACGTGAGTTTGTCTGGGTGTGGTTGGGACGGGCGACAGAGAACGGCTCTGATGCAGATTGCGCCTCCTCAACAATAAGTCTCCGCCAAAATTACGAGTACTTTGGCCGGGATGCAAACCCGTGAACATAGGCAATCGTTGCCGAACACTTTTCCCCGAACTGACAGCTGCCGAAACGCTCGCTGCAAGTGCAGTCTGTGTAATGTTGTTTTTGAGCCCACTTATGTAACAATTCCGAAAAAGATTAACTGTATTAATTAAAAACAGTAAGAAAGTAAGATATATTAGGATTACATTCCCGTTTCGATCAAGTGAGATGTTACCAAATCCTTTTCATGCACAGTTTGTTTAGGGTCTCGCACCTGGAAGATTACTGCCTTAATGCAAATTCAGGAAGAGAAACGCTGGATTATGGTTTATTATTGAAGAAATGTTCTTTTTAATTAGCTCAGCATTTCACTTAGATGTTGCTAGCAAGACCACTGCAACACTTTGCAAGTTGAATTTGTGGTAATATAAGACAGACAATGCAAATACCTAAATTATATTGTGTAACGTCTTCACAGTGACTCAGCAAGTAGAAAACAGCAATGTTTTGAAATTATTATTCGCTTCGAGCAACACTAAACTACACCAGCTACTCACCCTATAGTTAGCTTTCGAAGATGCTTGGCAGGACGTGGTAGCATCTTCCTCGAGAATCTGTCCAGAGTACTACTTTGAATTCGGACGTTCTCTAGGTTTGGCAGAGAGGCCATCCAATCTTCGTCGACGAATCCGATGGTGGAACGGATGATTACCACTTTCTTCAGAGTCTTCGGCAGTTTGTTGAAGTCCCGAGTGAGGTTGAGCAAGGACATCTCGAAGAAGACGAGTTCCTCCAACTTCGTCAAGGGTTTCAGCATTTCCCACGAGCTCGGGACACTGCTCTTGTGAGTGAATGCGATCCTTCGCACCGAGTTCTCCAGCCCCGCAAAAGCGGTAGCATTCGAGTCCGGAGCCGTAAACGACTTGAGTTTGACGTTGTTGAATTCAAGGAGCGACGCTCTTGTACCTGCAAGCACTCCAGGTGGTAGGTAGTCGATGTTACTGTCCTTGAGAACGAACCACAGGTCCGCGTAGTCTTCGTCATGTTTAAAATACTTCTCGAAATCGTCGGCACTTGTAAAGTTGGAACACGTGAATTCTTTAACTGTAGCGTGGCGATGCGTCGTGTCCTCGCATGCTGGTTCCGGAGATACGCAATTCAGGTATTGCGCTAAAAGGCAGCATAGTAGCAGAAAAGGTTTGCCGCAAAGAGACATCGTTGAGTTGCTGTGCTTCGAGAGGGATTTTACACTGAGTCGGATAGAAGACAGACTAAGGTCAGCTTAAAGGAGAGAACAAGTTTTGATCCGAGCCTGGTTAACGTCCTTGACCCTTCAAGCTCGTTTTTACGCAAATGAACGCCTCGGTGTCGGAGGCGTCTTTCTTTCCTGATGAGCGTCCTTCCCCCTGACGTGACTTCATGAATATCCGTGTCGTACTCTCTCGATGTCCGGCGTGCCCTCTTTGCCCTTGCGCATGTGGGGAAACATATTATCTTGGGATTTCACTTACGTTGCGACTGCGTCAGAAGGTTGTGGATGTGTATATCCCTTGGCTGTGCTCGAACGGTTTTGTGAGATTACGTTTTGTTGGTGACGAGTAACGATGTTGACGTGTTACAGAGGTCAGTTGTCGTTACGTGGTAATATCAGTAATGGTGTTGTATGTTTCTTTAAATCATGGGAAGTTAGTCAGCCCCAAAGGGCGTTTGGTGTCTGCGCTGTAGATGAGAAATTCACCCAGTGCAATGCGACTGCCGGCCTGCGGTCTTTAACTTGCATCATGCAGTGTTGACCCATACGCACACGCCGGGTGTTTATTCAGATATAAACAGGCGAGGCTGTGGACTGAGTCCCGGATCCCTGGGTTCTGCAGCACGCGCGTTACCTTCACTGTTCCGAGCAGCAGTGCGTTAACACACCCTCCCACCACTCCCCCCTCACGGTGACGTTATCATTCTTCCACGCGAGTAGGGCCTTCAAAGATAGTCTGCTAGAATTTCCTAATAATCAGCTCTTGCAGGTTGCCCCGGCAATCCCGGTGACGCTAAACTGGCGGCACGTGGCGGTGGTAAGCCACAGCAGAAACGGTTTCTTTGGCGTTGTCTTTATGCCGGTCAATGCGGTCGATCAGCGGGAGTCGGACGGGCTGTAGTGGCGCGAGGGAAACTGACAGGGACGACGGAAGTAACGAGGCAGTCACGAGCCCCCACCAGAAGACAAAGGAGATTAAAAAGCCTCGTACGAACAATAAAGAAGAAACGATTTGGTGTCACATCTTTTTCCTTAGACGCACGTCTCAAATGACAGACGATTGCGGTCACGTTCGAGGAAATAGATGTCTGTCTTGCTTTATCATGGACTAGGTCAGTAAACTCACATGACAGGAGTGGATGAGGCGTAAAAAAGAATTTGAGACCACTCGTGTCTCTGGGGATAGTTGTACTAAACTTCGTTTCACTACAAGTCAGAGCATGATCTACGCGATGAGCCGACAGAGCCAACGAAGCAGCGAAAAACGACGCCCTGCTGTGCGTCGTTTTTTTCGTGTGTCTACTAATTTCCGGCTATATCAACCATAGAGTTATTATAATGTACGCTAGAGGTTCAAGTGGCGCTAGTGTGCTGACGCAAATTGAAGCAGACAGCAACCAGTCGAAAATTGACTTCCGGTAATGCATTTCTATGGGAAAAAGTGAGTGCATTTTCTCTCTGCGCTCGATCATAAGAGCAAATATCCCGAATAATTCGTACGTACTAGGTAGCTTGAAACATTTCTCAGTCAGGCCGACGAAGTAATTGGTCAGTTACGGTGTTTTTCTTTCAAAATCATCGCATTAAAAACGGTGCTAAAACGGCTTCGTACGTGTATTTATGTGCACTGTCGGACACTGTTAGCGCGAACACGACGCCGGCGCTTTTCAGCGTGGGGGATATACGTGCCACGAACGAGGAACATCTGGAAATTAAGCAAGACGGCAAGAACTACGCAGTAACACCGGATCAGTGCATATACGATCAAAATTAATTGAAGGCCACGTAATCTATTCCTATTTTAAGTAAGTAAGTGTACCGTTTTATTCTTTCTGCTCTGAGCGAAGCTGCTTGTTCCACGTTCAAAATATCACTCGCACGCTCGAAATCTTTGAGAACAAGTGCCCGATAAAAGCTGCCCGGCAGAGAAAACAATACGAAGAGACAACTTTTATAGCCCACTGACTTTATTCTCTACGTTTTGAATGTTTTTATCCGCTCATGCACGACGGGGTCATTTTTATATAGTGACAGGACTGGCATATTATCAATATATAAGCGTCACCGGATTGCTGGCGAGCCTTGAACACACTCTACATTCCTTTCGATTGTAATTTTGTTTCGAATCGTCGCTTGTTTTTACACACCTGCTGCGGAACACAGGTTTGGGACTGAAATGTAGCGAAGTTAAACATCGGTCACTGATGAAGAAAAATGCGCTAACTAAAGCAATTACACTTTTACAGTGTTAATCAAGGTACATACTATTCGGTACGACCCCAATAACTAAAGTGTTCCGTGTTATTTTCCGGCGAAGAGACAAAATGCACGCGCGCTTTCCCATAGGAATACACAGGAAGACTGGAAAAGTAGACTGGTTGCTGTCTGCTTCAATTTGCGTCACGGAAGTCGCATAGACACTAGCGCCAGTTGAACCTCTAGCGTACATTATAATAATTCTATGATATCAACCAAGAGTGGTGAACGCACAGTTACTCTGTGCTTTTAGTCAATGCGTCTGCGATTGTGTTTTTTAACCTTTGACTGCGCTCCGATTTATGATGAAACTACGTGTAGAAACAGTATACCGTGCTCAAAGGGGTAACAAGCGATGCACAAACGAAGACGTTTTTATAATTAAGTTGATTGCCACAGCGCAAGCCGTGAACAAAAGATAAGGTCTCACTAATAGAGGAGTAGGCTTACGTTGCATATTTGAAAGAAGGCTGCGTATCAATTGCTAGGTCTGCCAAAGAACGGTATCATTTACTTGCACTGCTAGTCGATGAATTATACCTTTTAAATGAGTCCCTCGTAAGTTGCGGGGAGAGGGCGGGGAGAAGGGGAGGCGTATTAGCTGCCCACAAAATCGGTATGACTATTGGGCATAAGCGTCATTCGGAACGTTTTACTTGTACTTCGTTGAAACAATAAAAAACAACTTTTCAATTGTTTTGGTTTTTTGTTTTTGCTAGCAGTAGTTTTGGGTTTAGTAGAAATTGAAACCTTTGGTTGCACATAATTGACGTGGCTCCCCAACAACACTTGGATAGCTAATAAACCGGTCATAATTTATTGCAAGATTTTATTTTATGATTGTGGTTTCATTTAACCAAAGCTAGGGCTATGGCAGGGGAGTCTCGGACCACCCAATCAAAATGGAAAATGGTGGGGGGGATGACACTTCCTGAGATCCCGCTGGTTTCAAGCAGTGCTTAGTGGTTTATGTGACAGTATTCTTAATATTGAATTTCCGTCTTCTCAGGAGAATTATAAACACGCGCAAGCCCTGCTTCCACCTAAAAGCTGAACTCCATGAAGCGGTTATGCTGCGAAGAACCGCCAAAAATCGCCCGGAGGCGCGTTCGGATCGCGTGTGGCGCAACACCCACTGTTCTGACACCACGCGCAGAGCGAACGCGGCCGGGCGAAATTCCTCGTTTTTTTCGCTCCTTGAAGTCCAGCCTTAAAGGTGCACTGACACCCACAATTTCGTATTTTTTTCTTTGTCTAAAACGATGAAGGTTGTAGTCATGGACACACACACAAAATGCACCATAACGCGAAAAACAATTCCCCACGCGCACACGCGCCTTTTGATCTTTGGCGCTCTTCTCGCCTCCTCGCTTCTTGTTATTTGTGACGTAATCAATTTTGAAATTTAGAACCTTCGTAAGCGACATTTATATAATATTTAACAACTGCATTCCTAAAACATGTTTATATTTAGCGAAATTGCGAACCCACTACGCCCTTTCTTCTCAGATATGGAAAATCCGAGTCCAGAAATGATGTCGTCTCCTGGCTATTTATCCTCCCTCGGAAAACATGGCGGTGCTCGGCACATGTAGCTGTGAGGATGATCGGGAAGTGCCCGACGACCTCTCAGACTTTAAAAAGGAAATCGTCAAACGGTCAAAACAACTGGGTTTGTTGCCTGTGCAACATAGTTTCGGTTGTGACCCCCCCCCCCCCGGGGGGGGGGGGGGGGGCAGTTCTTTACGCAGCACCGGCGCGACATGGCCTTTCGTGTCGCTCACAAAAATCCACTACGCATTATCTTCGAGCTCGCGCCCTTTCACAATATTTGAGATCGCTGAAAGGGCCTGAAGCGTTGTCTGCTCACGGCGACAGGCGACCCGCACGGAGAAGCGGGGTCGATCGCGGTACGCGGGAAAACACGACACTTCCGGTCGTACAAGTTCGTAGGCGGGAGGAAAACTTGGCTTACAGGACGACTTGACAGTTTAAAAAATGCTTTGCTGAAGCTAGCACTAAATAGGAGTGACATGTAAAGACTGGGTTTCCTGCACTCGTGCGCCCCAGCCTAGGGATTTTGTCTGATGCGCCGTATGCCCGGAGAGCAGCCGATGCACGCTTTGCTCATGCACCATGCAGCTTGCGCCTGTGCAGAAGTTTATGCGAAATTGGATCGTTTGCCCGCCGCTTGGTGCCGTTTTTAGGCAGAAAAGGTCAATTTGCTGTCTCCCCTAACAGCGACAGAGCTTAGAAGTATATATTTTTTAACTTCTAGTGGACGAAGAATGTCTATGATAAAATTTTCAACGAGGCATGTAGCTGGGATAGATGGTGGTACATACTGTTTGGTAAGAGCAGTGCTAAAAAAAAAAAAAAGAACCCGTAGGACCAGGACGAAGAAACACACAAACAGAGCGCTGTGAAAAGGGCCCAATATAATGGCGAATTGCATGGTCGTTTTGGAGCGCGCCGGGATCGACTTTTCTGGAGCGAACCTATTTCACTGGGCGATCGGGATCGAGACCGACGTGTTTCACTGCTCGTTTTGGATTAGCTCCAGCTCCAGATGTCGATCTGGATCCGAGAAAAGTCGCTCGGACGATTTCGGCGAATTCAACCGGAAGCCAGCCGGGCCAGCCCTCGGCGCACACACGTGACTTCCTTTCTCGTGAGGCATCTCGCCGGATCTCGCCCATCTCGCATCA